AACAACAACAAAAAAAAAGAAAGGCCTGATACTGCATCCATCGTCCGCTCCTTCCCCTCCTGCACGGCCGTATCAGGACGGGACGAACCACGGCCCAATTCCCCCAGCAATCCACCCGACCCTCCTCAAAATCTTCTTATTCCTCCTCCTTCAACCGTTCTTCTCCATGCGCTCTGGGTTCTTAACCTTCTCTTACGGTCTACTTCTTCCGAGCCGAACAATTTCCACCTCCGACACGCGCCACGGGACCCCAACCGACCTCATCAAGTAGCTCGCCTCAAGCACAATCGGCCCAATCGCAAAACCGAGGGCACGAAAATGACGACGACGTCCCTGATGAGCCAAACCTGGCTTCGCTGAGATGGGACTTGGCGGTTTGGAAGGATGCTGAGCTGTTGTTGGATCCAAATGTGGCGGTACTACATTCGGAGGTCACGTTTGGATTGATCTTGGGCTTGGGCTTGGGCTTGAGCTTGGGCTTGAGCTCGGCACTGGGGAGGCTGCTACTGGTGCGGGTGCGGCTGCGGCTGTTTTGTACGTTTACATTGCTGCCATTTGAGGCGAGGGAAGATGCAACGGCAGTTGTAAGTTTGGTTGTGCGCTCATAGTTCGGAGAGGCGGACATGGATTTGAATCCAGGATCATGAGCAACACCCTTACTATCACTCTTCTTTGATGGACTAATCACCGCGTTGTTCTGCTAATGTTAGGAGTTAGCTTGGTTCATGGGTTATAAGGTCCGAGGATCAATAACTTACGGCAACTTTAGGTGCCGACAGGGATGAGGAAATGGTTCAACTTTGATGCCGACGGGAGCACTTCTCGGCTGCGTCTTGAGAGGTGGAGGTGGGAGGACTCGGGAGACGGGGAGTGGAAGCGATGGGAATGGGAGTGGGACGTGTCCGGAGAAGACTTAACTCGGACGATGACTCTGAATTGGGAACGACCTTCGGTCTGAGGATGTCGGACCGACGTACGACCAGTGGTTTTTCCTTCTCTTCTTCCTCGTCCTTAACTTGCTTTCTGTTCTGCCTGTCTGGATCTGGCTTCTTCAAGGCCGATTTCATCTTGCGCAATGACGGATGTCGGTTCTCCGTGGCCGGTTGCTCCAAAGGATCGGTGAAACGAACCCCCTTCTTTCCGTCCACCCTTTCGTCGACATGTGGGCGGTACGGGGTTTGCGGCCGAGCTAGAGAGGGAAGAGAAGATCGATGCCTTCTTCCTCTCGGAGCCTGCTCGGGCAGCCGCTTGTCGTCTGTTGAGTTGATCACTCCCTCACAGCGGTAGCGCTCGATGGTATGTGGAGATAGTTTGCGGTGTCGAGACTTGCTACCTTGTGGTTCCTTTGTTTCCTTCATTGTCTTCTCGGTGTTCGGTTGGAGAACGAAGTTGACCTCTGCCCGAGTCTGGGAAAGTGCCACGTAGTGGGACATGTTCGAATCTTGATATCAATTAAATTTGAGTTAAACAATATGGGGAAATATGGGTTGGCCGTGGTGATGTACTGCGGTGTTCCAGTTTGGCACAATTTGAGTTCTGTCGTTTCGTGACGGTGATGCAAGAAGAGAATTCTCACCACCCCTCCCACCACGAAATCTATGGGATATACTGCCCAAGGTCGATGGTCGCCATGAGTTGTTGCTATGGCCATGGTGCTGGTATTTGCATGAGAATCTTCGTGAACACCGAACAGTATCACTGCTTAGGTTTGGAACAAGTTCATTGTTCACGGACATAATGGCTGTAGGCAGCGAGGCAGGAGATGGGTTTCGGGATGTTCACAGTTCGGTACCTTCTCGGGTTATGGTCAAACATAATGGATAAAGTGATATGTTCAACGAAGAGGGAAATGTAACCGCCTGGCTTATGGGTCTTATAGGTGTATAGGCCATATAACATGGATCATGATATTTCCCGTGCGGGTTGAGAACATGAGCGATCATAGAATCACTGCTTCATAGGAACCGATTAACCACCAAGTAGAGTAAACAGAATGAGAGCGAATTATGTAACCAGCTCTTAGCATTAAGTATATAAGGCTACGAAGGGAGAGGTAGCCGATTTGTAAAAGGCAGAACATGACGGACGACGCGGTGATCATGTTTCCATGTTGAACTCAAGCGAGACAGTCAAGCGAGACACTCAACGACAAGATTTCAGGTTTTATTTGTGGTAGCGAGGAGAGTAGTTGCCTATAAAGTATCTCATACCGTATAGCCTGACTCCAGGGAAGGAGGGTGTTACGGATGAATATGCAGTTAAGGGAAGCCACTGGAGACACTCGACGAAGAACATGACGGAGATACCGGTGTAGGTTATAAGACCTCTGGATATGTTATGCGCAGGCCATTGTGTTTGCTTCCAATATTTATTTGTTTGTAGCTTCTGTGGATGGACAACGTGAAGACGTCAAAATGTGCATTTGGCGCGGGCAGTGATAACAAAGCATTTGTCCAAACAAGCATACATGTGAATGCGTGCCATATGGCAAGCGAGGTCTAAACCACGATTCACAAATACCTGATATCTGCCCAGGAGGTAGTGTATGTCCCTGTAGACAATCATACATTCAATGAAGAAAATAATAACAAGAGAGCGTTGTAAATTGGGAGGACATAAACAACAACTGTGAGATTGCGGGTCCTTACCATCGAAATTGCTGATACAGATGCGAAGCTATCACAAGCAATGCAAATCATAGGAGCACCCTGTTAGTGGAGTAGCTGTCCCAGAGTCGAAACTGTACCTTGCCCGTCCCATCGACCCATGGGCATACCTTACAATGAGCTGCATAACGCCGCCATCATCATCTCGTACCTTCCCAAAAGCGCAATAGCAGGAAATGCAAAGTAAATGACGGAGAACGAATGCATTTAAGATCGAAATTACCTTATCGTGCCCCATCGTGCTAGCCAGAACTCGGGCCTTCCAACTAGGAATTCAGTGGCTGCATAACGCTATCGTATCATATCAGAAACGTAGCCAATTCTGTGCGTAGTCTGTTAGTACACTAACTCGCAGGGCTGTCGCTATCACACCCCGCTATCGCAACCCGCCGGCCCTCGCCTTGAACCCAAACAACACCGTCACTGGCACCTCAAGAGAAATCACTTCATGGTTTCAGGTTACTTTGCACACACCGATTCGGTTCTTTTTGGTTGACGATGAATCTCCTCCATTTCAGGCGCACAATCTCCTACTACTAGTCAGACTTTCCTCTCTGTTCCAACCGCACCCCAAACTCTCCCGTGATCCCGTCTCCTTCGCTTCTGCCAGTCTACCAGTACTGGTCCAGGCACCATCTCCACAACACTTCCCAACTCCTCCTCCCCAAACCGAACCCAGCTTACCTCCTCCATTCACATCACCATGAACTCAAGCTGACCAACTACAGACAGATGACCAAACTCGTTTGGTGAACTTGTCAAACTCGCGGCTCTAGCCCATCGCCGTAAAATGACCGGCACGCGACAAAGGACAAGACATTCGATTCCTTGCGACGACCTATTCACTCTCCGCTCATCTACTACCACCGACACGGGTTGTCGACGCCCAAACGCAGTTTGAGCACGCGCAATACTGGTGTCCACTCCCTGGAGCTGCGGACGCCAAGGCAAGATCCGGTTTGCCAGTCTCCAGAAACTGCTCTCATATGTCCGAGTTGCTGCTGCAGGAGTGCTCGGGTTTGTTGCTAGAGATTGACGAGCTGGACTCAACAATGGTCGAACCAGAACCGGGCTTTTCCAAGCAAGCCGGCGTCTGTACCGGTGAAGTTGGCGGACACTGAGGTACTTGGAGGCTTGACGTTTCCGGGACTGGTTTGGATGGCTCCTCTTTAGTCCCTTGGGAACGGGTACAGCCCACGCCGCTCTCTGAAGTATCATCTTCAGATATGAACGGGGACCTGTACACTCTCTTGGCCTGCTCTTCAGCCTTCCTCAAGTCCTCTCTCGGCTCGATCCATTTGATGATGTTTAATACCGGGGACTCCGCCCAGGTTACGCTCTTGCGTCTTTGGGGGCGGTTGCTGTCCCGAGCCTTATCACCGGACAGACTGAGGATCGATCGAGTGGGTTTCAATCTCCGCACCTGAATCAGCAAGCTGGAGTCTTGTCGAGAGGGGCCTTGTGTCGGCTTCTTGTCACTTCCGGGCGGATCCGGTGTTGGCTGAAAGGGCTTTGGTCTCGGTGCCTGGACCGGCAAGCTGGGAATCGACAGAAAGGGCCTTCCTACCAACGTTTCGCTATGTTTGGCCGCATTGGGAACGAACGGAGAGGGGTTCAACCTCAATGCCTGAGGGGATCGAGGCAAATGGGAAGTCTGTTGAGGAGCAGGGTTGCGCTCGGGATTTGTCGCCTTTGGGATATTATTTCTCGGATGGGGATCCGGGAGTGGCGCCTTGATGCTGTGATCTGGTGTACTAGCACTATTGCCATTCTTCACGACGGTTGGATGGACGGGAGGGGCCGTAGGTGGCTGAGTTGGGAAGACCTCCTTCAAAGGCTTGGGAGCCGACAGCTTCTGTGTGCTGTTTCTTTTAGCTTGAACAGTGCTGATGCTGATAATCTTTGGTTTTGTTATGATCCAACCAGAGAATCCTATGTAGGCTAGACTAGATGACCAATTAGGTAGGACCCAAAGGGAGAACCCGAGACGGAGGATCGGGTCCACGGGTCCAGTATATTGGGTCCAGGAAGGCCGGTATAAAAGAAGGCCTCCCCAGGCCTCTTGTTACCGGATCTTCAGCAAGCAATAGCCATCACAACCTACCAGTACCTTTCGGCTACTACTCCGTTACTCTATTGTTCCATTCCAGCAATAATACTCCTGTGCTTGTAACGGTTCGTCACAGGTTTATCCAACTGCTACTTCTGGTTGTTGTTTTGGACCTGTACTAGATCTTGGTTGTGATTGGGCTTTGAAGGCGTTTCTTGCCTCTTGGTGTCTGTGGTTGGTGCTTTCTTGTCAGTGTCCGACTGGTAAACGACATTCGCTTCTCTTGTCGAATCTTCTGGGCGCCCCAAGCTGCGCTTCGAGGTCACGTCAGCGGATGTACCGAGTGGTGTGGGCGCCTTGGCTTCGGATCCGGACGGTGGTATCTCAAGATTTGGGCCAAGCTTGCTTGATAAGAGCTTGGGATATCTGTGTGCGACAGGGTTGGACTGCTGTCGGATAGCAGGTTCAGAGAAATCGGGGAAACTAATGTCTTGGATGTGTGGTTGTTGGTATCTGCGTTGAAATGTTGACTTTTCTTCAGGCTCTTTTTCTTCGACCTTCCCCGCCTCTTGCTTCTCAGTCTTTCTCTTCTTCGAAATGGGCGTGGAAGCCGGTGGGTGGACTGGCTTTTCTTGGCCATCGTCTCTCGAGCTCGGGACTCATAGAAACGTACGAGGTCCGAAAAGGCGCGTGATCTATATACATCTGGCTTGCCCTCCAGGGAGTCCACATCACCAGAGTCTTCCTCGCGACGATGTCTGGCGCTCGAGTGAGAACCGTGGTGTTGTGTGCTGCGAGGGGTTATGCTAACTTTCACACCCATCTTGCTTTTCCCATGTTCGCATTTGATCAGCGTCTTGCCTTCTATGCCTTTGATCTCGACGGTGGTGTTCTTTTTGTTCTTACCGCTCTTCCGTATCTTCTCCCTTGTCTCCTCCTTGATGATGTTCTTTTTGAAGGCGTTATTCTCCTCGAGGCTTCTCTGTTGCTCAAGCCACCTCTTGACTTTGAGCCTTCTCTCCTTCCTGGCTCTCCTCTCCTCAAATTCTTCCTCGTCGAATCTTTGCTCCTCAAGTCTTTTTCTTTGGCTCTCAACCTTTTGCTCTTTGAGTCTTTGTTTCTCGAGCCTCTCCTGCATCTGCTGCTGGACTCTCCCTTGTTGCCGCCTCTCTTGTCGGATTCTCTCCTGTTCGAGTCTTCCCTTCTGCCGCTGTTTCTCCTCCTCTGTCCTCTTCCTTGCCTCGACTTCCTGCTCCATCTCGTTCCTCCGTCTCGCGCTGTCCCCTTCCTCCGCCCACTCCAGCGTTTTCCGCCTCATCTCTTTAGCATTCCCTAGTCTGGAGGCAGCACCACTGCTGCCCATGTCTATGCCAGCAATCTTCATAACTTGTTGAAGCACGGCCAACTCTTGTCTTGGAAGCCCAGATCCTGCCGCTCGGTCGTCCTTCGAATCGCGATGGCGGAACACATAATCCGCCGGCACTCTGCCCGCCTGAACGGGGAGACTCCACCGCAGTCTGTTCTTGTACCTCTAGTACGAGAGAACAGCATTGGTGGATCTAGTCGCATCTTTCAAGTCCTTTCCGAGCTCTTTGCTGGCGTACTCCTCGTAATACTCTCTACACTTGGGGCAAAAGCCGTACTCGACCTTGTGAATAAGAGTGAGAGGTGGGCGGCAATTTGTCGAGAATGGGCGGTTTTTGTTGCCGACAGGCTTCAGGGATTTAAGACACCAGGTCAAAAAGGCGTCTTTGACTCTGCTCCCTGTCTCGATGGCGGGAGGCCATGGCTGTGGGCGTACCTTAGGAGTGTAAGCGGCGATATCGCAGGGGAGTTCTCGCTTCGTGACATGGCCGCATACTGAGTGCAGCTGCTGCAGTTTATGGCACATGGCGCCGGTGTTGGTGACGATTTCTGCTGCGATGAGATTAGCGCATGCCTGGTGAGGTATGAGGTGGTTAGGGGGATCGGAGAGTTTTTTACAACCAGTATCGTTGTCTCAATGTGGTTGTCACAATGTGTGTACAACTTTGTGTCAAACGGTCAGCGATCAACAGGTTTGATTCGGTGGGTTTGTCGTTGTGATTGTTGGAGGTAACGGAATGATACACCACAAGTGGCATTGAGTGTGGGAGTGAATTTCGTGTATTAATTAGGTTAAAAGAGAGAGAGAGAGCAGAACAGGGAGGACGGAGTCCGACGTGGTTTCTATACAGGGTAGCTATGTGTGGATCGTATCCACTTAGACAGAAACGCCAAAGAATGTGATGGCTTCAACAGTGATGATGTCGGAAGAGGAAGACAGTTCCAAGTTTACCGCAAGCTCAAGGGATATAGAGGTACTATATCAACAGTCACCTGTGTGGCACACCTGCTTGGTCTGTTGTTTCCATTGCCGCCATTACCATCCAAGATATCGTCACTCTGTACTATGGATAGCGGTGTTGTTCGTACTAGGTTGCCGGTCCGCGTGGTGTTCAAGCAACAGAACCAGGTTGGATACCATGAGCAGTGCGACTGTGGAAATACGCTGGAGACAGTAAGGGGGTCCTATGCATAAGGCGATCTATTGGAGATCACAGCTATGGAAATTGAAATATAATGAACACTGAACCTGAGCCCTTCCTCAATCGATGCCGGGCTAGGGGGCCGAAGGCGCCCGGGGAAAGATGATGTATAATAAAACCTATGATGCACGAATTTCTGTCCCACTTTCTCGCCTCATTAATCATGTAAGACACTCAATTCTAGTGTAGGCGAGGCAGGGTTTTGAGAGGGCTCCAAAGAGAGTTCATGTACCAAGGTGATAGGAAGTTCTGGCGCTTGTTTAGTGCGGGTCAGGAGAGAGCATTGTTCCATTTGCCACCAAATCAGTGAAGGGAATAGGGATTGATTTTTTTCATCGCTTGATTCAGTGTTAGACACACATACTCTAAGGTGAGCTGATGGGCTTGATGATAGGGTAGTTTGTTTTAACGAGATTTTTTGTCCCTCAACCCCCTTTCTGGAACCACAACCATGCACGATTGAAGCAGATGAAAGAAATCGGGAAAAAGAAAAGTGCCAAGACATGGATGTGGAGTAGATCAACAATAATCAGACGATAAGATCTCAAGGACTCTCTGTCGAGGTCTGGATCCTCCCTCTCTCAATGTCAGTGGGATTGGGGGACAGGAAGAACATCATTCAATGGACGATTTTACCACGGCCTTGGCTGCCTGATGTCGAACCGGCTCCATTACCTGGAAGCATACAGTGATGGCAAGCATTAACGCAGACACATGTCGCTGATGCCCAACAAATCGCCCATGGGGTAATGCCAATGAGTACCCTCTTGACCCATCCAGCCATCCCCCCATCTTCCTTTTCTCCTTCGTTGTCACCTGCTGGTATTCAATTTCTTCCGCATACCTTCTTCCCACCAAGATTAATATCATACGTTCGACGTCCAAGCTGCCATTCGATCTATCCCCCAACAGCCTCTGGTCTCCATTTTCTCGAGGATCAGGTCACCTCGCGTGACAGGGGCATTATTGTTCCCCCAGCACTCGATGACTTGTGGCCCACCATGGTCTTCTTCGCATTCTTTGTCTTGTGCTTCTTGGCTTCCCCTCGCGTCGCTGCGGGCCGAAATGCCTCCGATACTCTGCCAACTGTCTTCGCTCAGTCAAATACCAGCAAGGATAAATCGCAAGAGCTCATTGGACGGGTTGGTAACCCTAAGCAGAGGAGAACCCTAGCGCTTCTCATCGAGTGCCTGACAACCATCTTTGCCTGCACTTGGACGGTCTTACACCTGAACTTGCCCTTTCCCAATTATACTATCAAAACTTGAGTTCTTCGGAAGATCAAGTGGATGACTAGCGTTAGAAATAACTCAAGTACGGTAAGTAATTATAAGTAAGTATAAGTATAACGCAAGTTAAGTTGAGTGGCAGCAATGGCGTCCCGGCCGTCAACGTTCTCTTTCACACTTTATCTCATTCTTTGGTCCTGTGTCCTCATCGCAGCCTAAGAAACGGCCGAGCCACCGCCGACATCAACCCCCAAACCTGCTGACCAGAAACAGGTTATCGTGGGGTGGGTGAATAATTCCAGGAGGAGAGGCACTCTAACCATCCTTATCGATTGTTTGACGACAATCTTCGCCTGCACCTGTACCGTCTTACACCTCAATGTACCAGCCATAACGGATTCTCCTATGGCACGATTTAGACGCAAGGCCAGATGAATGGTCTTTACAATCATTTTCTCTGAGTTCGTATTCACCAAAGCTGTATGTGAGCTACGGCTTGCTTTGTACACACTTGATCAAATTTACTGAGCCATTTTTCACTCCCACAAGGAGTTCGAAATGATCGACCACATCGAAACATCGGATGGCCCTTCCTCTTGGGTTCTTTGGACATGGACAGTTGAGTTTGGGTGGACCCAGAGAATGCTTCACCTATTATTACTGAGGCGCCCACCCTTCGCGGAATTCTTGCACCCTCGCCGGGATCGATGATCAAATCCTGGCTTTCGAAGATGCCGTCACTCATTTTCAGTTGCGGTAATTCCAGCCAACACCTGGTGTCTTCAGTGACACAGCAACAGCGCTATGCATCATTGTCAAGAACGGTTGAACTGGTCAAAAATGGGCAGAAGACGACAACTTCGAAAAGGTTCCATGGAAAGAGCTTCTCAGACCCAGACATGGTCCTTTCCGAAAGCGCGGGTGCAATTGCGAGAGTTCAAACATGGACGCTCACACACGCTTATTACGTTAATATGGGTGGACTAGTCGCACGGAAGCGGATCGAACAATGGAATTCCTCTTCATCTATACACAGCCATCGATCTGTCGCCCACTCGTACTCAATTGTACGAGGCGACCATCTTGCAGATCCGAAGTTAAAAACATGGGTCATCCCCTCCAGGTACTTCGGCTGTCTGCCAACGACATCAAGGATAAGAGTAAAGCGGACTGGATCGTCAAGACTATTGCTGTGATCCAGATTACACGCCTTATCTTTGACCTTATCACACGCGGTATAGGAGGTCAATCAGTCACGCAACTTGAAATCGCGACAGTGTCCTTTTCGGGGTTTGCCATATTCACCCATTTTGCCAACTGGTGGAAACCCAAAGACGTTTCACAGCCGACAAAACTCCATACTGTCATAGATCAGGGCACTGAGAAGGTGACAGAGCGGGCCGAGCGCACAACTCATTCATTCTTCAAAGATTTGTGGTTTCCTAGAACTACACCCCATCGGCTTCCTCAGGATGCCTATGCGGATACCATGTCCCTACGCATTCGGATAAGAAATGACGAGTTGTGGATGGGCACAAGCAAACGTACAAATCTAGCCTGGTTACTTCTATCCGCATCTTATGTTGTCTTCGGAGGCGTTCATTGTGCAGCTTGGAGGTTCCAGTTTCCCACGCGGGCAGAGCAACTTGCCTGGCGCACGGCTGCCTTGGTCTCAACAGCTTTACCCGTTCTGTCGTTGGCGGGAAGCTCTGCAATCACGCGCCTTCGACCTCCAGGATTCGTACAGGCGGTAACGGAAGCAGTCAACGCCATACTTGAGTTTTATGATGTCAAGTTGTTGGAAGCTGAAGAGGATTGGTGGAACATTTTCACAACTGAAGTGAGCTCACCGGTCTGGGAAGAGTTGGTGAAAACCCTTTCCGGAGTCAACAAAGATGACGAGGAGAGACTAAAGACGGAACTTCAAACGATGGGCAAGCTCCGAAGTTCGCTACGAAGCCTATGGCAAAGTCGACTTCGAGGTAGAAAAAGGGACGAGGAAAGGCTGATCAACACCATCTGGAGGATTGGAAACAACGTGGTGTCCTTCCGGGGTACAGACTTTGACCTTAGATCTCGTTACGAAATATGGATCAAGAGCCAGGACGCATTTCGTAACGGGAGACTGACAGACACGTTGAGGGAAAAGAAATTGAAATTCGCCGTGCAACCTTATTATGAGTATCAAGGCGATGAAGGGCTGTTCGATTGGGTGTTCGCACGTTGTTATAAGCTCAAGTCATCCGAGGCGGAATGGTTTTACCGGGAAAAGAGGAGGAAACATGACCATCTGGCGCAGGTACTCTCACGACTCCTCAACACCATAAGCGCGTTTTTCTACACAATTGCTCGGGCTTTGCTCCTTGCGATCATGTTCTCCAGTCTCTGGGCAGCCCCAGATGGGATATATGACACTCCTGACTGGACCCGCTTTGTGTCGAGTTTCTCGTGAAGCGGGCCAGGCTGCCAGCAGGGGTTGGGTTTGCGTTCAGGAAAGAGGCAGGAGGCAGGCTGGGGGAGCGAAGGATGGCTGCAGGATTGAATTATTGAAGCTTGTCTTTTAAATTTTGGACGAAAAAGTGAATGTGCACAGGAGCCAGTGGCGGAGGAAATCAGAGTTTGTGATATGACAGCCTTTATGTATGTCTGCCTTGCAAAGACGAACAACTCTTCCCTTTTCCCTAAAATACATGCACTCATCATTCCTCGACAGAACAGCTTCAGTTCCAGACAATCACCATCCAAGACATAAACATCTCTACCTTATCAACCCCGTCTACTCCTCCGAGTCATTACTAACAGTACTCGTCCCACCCCCCTGTGCTTCCGAAATGACCTTTGTCCTAACCACCTCGCCCTCCTCAGCATCCACATAAATCCAGCTAATTGCCTCAATTCCCGGGAACGGCTTATACTCATATTGCAACTCGAACTCCGTCTTGCCATCCACCTCCACAGTCCTATTATGGCCCGTAAACGTCATATCATCCTTGTAGTATCCAACCACCTGCCTCGATTGCTCGTTTCCGTCGTTGTCAAGAAACTCATCAAAAATATCGCCATTCTGATCCAATCGGCGGTTGCGGTGTCTGTTGCCCTGGTAGTCGTTGACGGAGTACAGGATGTTGTGCTGGATGTTGTAGTTAAACGGGTCCTTGTCTGCTCCGGACCCGTGGCCGACGGCGGAGGGGACGCGCTTGGCTAGGTTGGCTGCTACTTCGAGGGGCTCAGAACCGAGGTCATTGAGGGGGACGTCCTTGAGCACATTCCCGGCCGCGTCGGCGACGTTGTTGAGGGCATCACCAAGCGGCACATCCCTGACCACCTTCCCCACCGTGTCCACCACGTCGTTGACGGTATCACCAACAATATCCCCCACCCCATCCAAAACCTTGCCCACCCCTTGACCGAGGGTAGCAAGAAGCGGATTCACATCGATACTCTGCAAAACACTATCAACCATGGCCACCACATTCTCCAGTCTCGCCTCTAGCTCCACTTTAGCAGAGACATTCTCAATCCTGAGCTTGACGCGATCGATGCTCGCGTCCACGCCCGCGCTGAAGTGCAAGAGAGAAAGGACCTTGGCGTCCAGGTTGACTTTGGCAGTGATATTGTCCACCTCGATGTCGATCAAGCCGACAGACACCGAAGCGTTGAGGTAGACGTCTGGGTCTTCGGGGAGGATGAGGTCGTTGTCAGTGTTGGCAGTCTCATAGACGGCTGATTCGGGGTCACCGCGGTGGGTGAGGCGGTATCCTATGTAACCGTCGTCTGTTTCCTTGTCGTCCTCCGTGTCTTGGGCGAAGGAGAGGGCAGGGAGACGGGAAAGAGAAAGGAGGAGGGTGGCGGCTCGGAGGAGGGAAATAGGCATGGTGTATGGGGTTTGGGGCCGCAATGCGGTCCCTGTGGCTGGCGTTGATGGATGATTAAGGTCGTGGACAAGAGAAGAAGGTCAAAACCAAGTGGAAGACAGAGCTCCGGCATTAAGTGATGCCAGGTGCGTTGTAGGTGGACTTCAGTTGACCGGAAGTGATGGAGGTGAAAGGGAAAAGGATCCAAGAACTTCCAGGCCCAAAGCAAAGACAGGAAGAAGCGATGGAGTTGAAGTCGTCAAAACAGAGAGAAAGGAAGATGGGAGATCACTTGCATCAATCACTCTTCAACCCCAGCACCAATCCCACACGCACATCATGATTCGCACCGATCTCTCCAGTTCCACCAGTCAGTACCGCGTCCCCTTACCTGCGGGAAAAACGCATAAACAACGCGAACCATTTTTCGATCGATATCACTGCTTCAATATCGACGAGGTCACTTCCAAGGCAGTTACAGCATGGTCGTTCCACTAATCCGCTAACGTCGGTAGAGTCGGTGCTCCACAGGCCACACCAAAATGCCGAAATGCCCTGAATGCCTTGGAATCAAGCCGTCATAGTAGCATTGGTCCACTAGATGATCTGCCTAATCGGGAAGTGACCGGGGTTGACGATCATGCAACCAGTTCTCGGCCAGTGGAAACCAGGGGCGGATATAGCTGATCCCTGCATCATAGTACCAAACGTCAAGACGCGAAGATGATTTCTTCAAGGTTGATCGTGTTCCATCACCTTCTTGGTGATTTGGGAGCATGGCGTTCGTGGGTCCGTGCTATATGTTATCCGTCCTGTGAAAATCTCGCGTCAGCTCCTTTGAGTCCTCGATCATTGACGAACCCTTTCCCCAGCTCGTCAGCTCTCTCTTTTTCTCAAGTGGGACACTCGGTTGGAGAGGTTGGCTTACTCTTCCTTGAATAACCTCAATCCTCGTGCTCGCTGAGTTGATCATCACGAGACTAACTCCCTCCGCTCCTAAAACAACAAACCTCATTCGACTCGCTCAACTCTCTCTCTCTCTCAAGCCCACAGTCCCACACCCGTTGCGGGCATCCGACGTTCGACATTCGAACACCATGAGACTCACCTCTCTCTTCCTCCCTCTAGGGCTGCTCGTCACCCTCTCAGCAGCCCAAGAGTCCAGTGCTGCCAGCGCCGCCGAACCAACCTCAACAGCAGCCGCCACCTCGGCCTCTATCCCACCCACCTCTTCCTCACCACCCACCTCCCGCTCTGTACCCCCGTCGGGCACATCCTCCTCCAAGCCCTCAGCAACAGCCACCGTCCCCGGCCCTTCAGGAACCAACTATGGGCCCAAAGGCCCTCCCGATGTTTTGCTCCGCGTCCCCGAGTTACACGTCGGCCGCATTGAGCTAGACGTCGATAACCTCCGTGCGGAAATCAACTTGGCCGCCGAAGTCGCTAGTCTCGTGACGCTCAATGCGGGCGTTCAAGTCGGAATTGACAAGGTGAATATCACCATTGCTGACGTTGATGCCCAGCTGGACCTCGTCATCCGGCTTGGCAATCTTGTTAAAGTCGTCAACCGCACCCTCTCAACCTTGGACTTGAACCCCGCCCTGGTTAACCTCCTCGATGGCGTGGTTGATGCCGTCGATGGAGTGATCGGCGCCGTTGACGGTCTTTTGGGGACTGTGCTAGGCTCAGACGGGAACAAGGTCAACTTTCTAATTGACAACTTGGGCAACATCGTTCAAGAGGTAGTGGGTGTTGCTGGTGAAGCGACAAGCACCATTGTCGGCAGTTATCTGAAGAACATGACGTTTACGGGAACGATCAAGGATTTGGGAAATGGGTTGACGCAGAAGACGTACAAGTATGATGCGTTGGGGAGTCTGGTTAATGTGGTTACGAATGCATTGGGACAGGTGGTGCAGGCTGTTGTTGTTGGTGCTGGCGGTGGCGGGGGAGGAGGTGGAAGCTCGACTAGCTCAGGAACGGCGGCGCCGACGAGCACGAAGCCGGCGAGCTCCACGACGGCGACTAGTGTGGCGGCTACTTCGACTGCTTGAAATGTTAGGAGAGGATTTAGTGGTAGAGCATCGGAGAAATAATTTGATGGATGGCCAAGTTGACGACATGGATGTGGAGCGTCAGGCTTATCACCTTGAGAATCAGTCTTCTCTATCTTGTGAAGCTGATGTGATTGTATCTCGCCTTCTTTGGCTCCAGCGTCTCCTTCCCTCCTCCTGGCGAAATCTGTCGGAGGAGACCGGCATCCTAGATGGGGTGGTTGTAGACCGAGGAAACGGCTGTTGACAATTGGAAATTGATGTCCTCTTGCGAAAAGGATTGGGACTGAGCTGAGGTCGATGGGTTGATGCAATGGGAGCAGGTTGAGAGCGCGGTGAGTGCAATAAAACTGAGGATGGGGCGGGTGTCGGCGATTACGGACAGGACTGACTGACAATTGTTGATAACAGAAAAGGAGACTGGGCAAGAGGAAAACGATATTTGGCAAGATCATGATCAGGCCGACAGCGATCACGAAGCCAGGAACTACCAAGCGCAATCTGGCTGCTCGGGACCGAGTGAAAGGACAGAACTGATGGAAGAATGTGATGTCCATGTAGAAAAGAACACAGCTCCCAAAGCCTGGGTAAGAAGGCCGGTCTCTTCCCAAAGACCCTTGCTCTTACCCATCAACGACAGCCTCCCGTGAGCTCATTCCATACTAATCTACCCGTACTTCCCCTTAGTTACGGAGAGAAGTAAGGGGCCGGTGCTGACCGCATAAAGAGAGCCTGTCGGTCGGGGGTGTCTGAGAAGTGAACACCAACCGGGAGAGCTGATGGTAGGTACTAGGTAACTTACCCGACCGCAGCGGAATTTAGCGACCCGTCAGACGTCACCATCAATCCTCTGGCCCTGACTTTCGACACGGGCTTGCCGATTCATCTGCACCAAACAGCCGACCTCCTCTATGCCAGATGCCGTTCGTATTTTTGATGTGGTAGATAATGATTGGCTTGGTAAAAGAAAAGGAATAGGAAGAGGAGCGCCATAAACCCTCCGCTGAATGACTTAATGACGGTAACTTCGGTGGGCGACAACTTTGACTGGTGACATGTCTTTGATGCGGGCTTTGAGCGCATTGCTCCCTGGGAAGACTTCGCTCGAGTTCTGCCCGACCTCGGTTTCGTTGTACTGGAGGTCTGAGACGCAAGACACACGAAGGCATCCGGCCAAGGTAGAATTCATCAATATTAAGCACGCCAAGATTCTAATGGTATCATAAGTTCATCCCTCCTCTGCCTCCTCTCCCTCTCCCATCCTCCCACTCTTCTCCTCTCGCACTCTCCCCATCTCATCACCCCACGTCTGCCAGTCTCATCACGTCGGCAACGGAACCTCACCCACAACCTTCCACTCCAAATCCCCATTTTCTGCACCTCCACTCATCCTCGCCTCAACAAGTTTTCCTCCCTTCTGGAAGAAACACCTATTAACCTCCTCCGAATCTTCCTCAATCGGGACTTCATTCTTATCATTGTCTGCGTCGATACTCGCCATCAACACACACCCGATTTGCGTATCCTTGTCTAGCCCCTTTAGAGCTTTTGACTCGGACGTCTTCCATGTTACGGAGTTATCACCAGATCCGGAGAAGGAGGTGTAGACCATCTGGATGTTGGAGTTCGAGTCGAGGTAAAGGATGTACGTGTTTGGTGAGTGCTTAGAAGATGAGGAGCGGGCGGTGACCCATGCGGATAAGGGGGCGCCGTCGGGAGGGGTGATGTCGGAGGGGAAAACTACGTAAGGTTTGTTAGTACACCTGAAATGGGGGAGAAGAAGAAGGAAACGTACTGGAGCTATTAAACCACGGAGCAGTGGCGTCAACTCTCTCGTCAGGACCAAGATGCGGGACAGCAGCTGCAAGACGACCGTCTGGATTCTGGTAAATCAGGCCGTATCCCCCCGATGCTGAATAATTCGCCCAGCGAGAAGAAATAGGCACCATTGCAAGGTTCGTACCGGGAAGCGCCGTTATCCCCGTCAGCTTGGCGAACCATCTCAGCATGATGATGCGCGCCTGGCCCAGCTCGCCGCTCGGGGTCTGGTAGACCATGGCGGGAAAGTAGCTGGCTGTGCTAGAATTAGCGAGGGCATCCAGTGGCCCCATGTTTTCGCTGAATTCATCGTCGTTGCTGATGGCGGGGATGTTGTTCTCGTTGATGTCTTTGGCTAGGACTGTCGGGCCGGGACCGATGTAGGTCAGGATGATATGGGGCTGATAACTCGTTAGCGACTGGACTGGGTATTGTCCCGTTTGTGGTGCTTAACATACCCTGACGTTATTCCCAAGACCATTGAGAATGATAGTAGCCGTGAGCTTGGTATCTCTCCTGAGACCGGTAATGGTGCTAACAGGCTTTCCCCATGAAGATCCGTCGTACTTGACGTAGTAGACGTCGTTGGTTTTGTCCTGGTAGAAGAGATAAAGCCCGACTTTACCCTTGTCGTTCCTCCAACTGGTAACGGTCAACGGTGAACCTGACTTTATAGCACCAGCAACAGCAGCAGAAGATGTTGAAGCAGCCCCTCCTCCCGTCGTTGTCTGTGATGGACTCGGTATCGTGCTTGAAGAGCCACCATCACCACCGCTATCAAGAACCGGAGCCGTGCTTGCTTTCGAGTCCCGAGCCGCCTTGCTCCCAACCACACCGCCGACCACAGCCGCGACTATGATGATAACCGCAAGTACACTCCCCAGGATAATCCATAATCGCTTTCGGTTCCGCTTAACGGTCGTAGGACCGCCGACGACTTCGGGTGCTTGGCCGGCATTGTACTGATCGCGTTCATCTTTCCATTTCCACTCATTAACCGCAGCAGTCATCGGACTCAGTTCCTTGCCAATTTCCTCTTGTCGAACTTCCGGCCAGTGTTGTGTGTTCTTGAGGTGTTCCTGTGGTACGACCTCTAGACCCTCGGCCCAGTTTGGGCGCTGATCTGCCTCGGGCTGCTCCTGCGCATGTGGTTGTTGTCCATCGGGGTATGACTGTTGTTGTTGTTGCTGCTGGTGATATTGTTGTCCCTGCTGATATTGTTGTCCCTGCTGATATTGTTGCCCCTGACCGTATTGGTACGCCTGATGATCGGTAGCATAATTCGGGACGTAGTAGCCCTCGCCAGGAGGTGGTATTTGATGGGCCATGGTGATGGGCCGACTAGAGGCCAGTGTCTTAGGCCAGAGCACGGTGAAACTGTCAAAATGGAGAACCGAGGAAAAAAGAGATCATCTGGTAACAGGAGCGCGCGCGAAGGTCTTGTGGGGAGACGCCATCTTAAGGATAGACGCCATCTTAAGGGTTGCTACCGCGGTCTCGGAGACGGGGGTACTGGGGGTGACATTTGTTCAAGTCTACGCCAGCCAGGCACACCGGGACTTTCCAATCCAATGGGTGTTATGTTATGGTGGTGTTGGGACTGGGGTTCGCCAGATTAGCTTTATGTTAGCGTCTTTTGGGCGGCCGGCCCCCGTAAGCACTTGTCCCAATTGACGACCAGTCGGTCGATATGATGGCAGATCTTGGTTGTTGTCGTTGATGTGTGTGCCGCAGGAGTGCAGAGCCGAGGCGCCGTCTGGAATGGAGGTTGTTGGTTCCGTCATGTCAAGGGGGATGTTTGGACAGGAATTGGGAGAAAAGGGGATGAAATCGGCAAGACATTGGAGCGACGGGAAGGACGGTAAGACGGTTCCTGGGCAGGTGTCATGTAGGGGCTGTGCGTTGCGGCACAGGTGGCGGCCAGGTGAACCGCCAGCCGCTGAGTAGACAGCAGAACAAACGGATCTTGACAAGAACAACAACTGGATTGATACTCAAAAACCCCGAAATATCACGGTGTTCCATGGAGAGTGGAAAATAATAAGCTCAGCCCTTTCAGGCCTGTTAGCCGCCGATATGTTCCCTGTAATCTCCATCCGTGCGCTGTAACTCGTCCCCACTGACATCAGCCAGCTTTTGTAGGTCACCTTCATCCTTCACCACACACCAACGGTTGAAGTCGTAATAAACAACAATAAAAAACTTCAAGCTTGTCCGACGCGCATCATGTCTCAATGTTTCGATCTAAAAAAGAAATTCAATGAACGCAAGAGAACCCCAAGAGCTTACCTGATTCTAGTAGACTTCGCAACAAACAGCGAGATCGTTGACCTCTATCCCACCTCACCACAACGATCCCCCAACCAACCAACTAAATTAGCCATTGCTAATCCCTGGGCTGCCAGTGAACATCCAGTTAGCTTACCGCCGTCCGCGGACTCCTTCCCCGGAGTCGACCTCCCCCGTCCCTCCCTAGCCTTCTTTTGTTCCATTCTTAACCTGCTTAACTTTTCATGATGGCTTCCCAAAAGCCAGTTAAGTTCAGACTTCCGATTGCGCTCTCTCAACCACTCGATTGGGACTCGATCATCACAAAGCTAAAAGCTGACAGTTTTGACACGCGATTGACTCCAGACCAAGCCTTTAAGAGATCTCGGCACACGTTTTGAGGTGATTCAACAATAACCACCACTCCAAAAAGCCAGAGATCGCTCCTGTCAGCGTTCTGTGATACATACCTCAAATCGTTTCATGTAGTTCCAGCCCAATTGACACCCCCCCCCCCCCAACCCATCCGTGCACTCAATTCATCCCATCATATTATCATTTTTGAGCCCCTGCTTAGCGGGATGGAACGGTATGTGATGATAATTTGAAGAGCATTCGGACATTCCTTACTGCGGATAGCAGATACCCAGATTATATTCAAGCGTTCCTTCTGGATTTTGTTCAACGTCGTGTACAGAACTTCTAGTTATATGTCATGCAGTATCATGATGATACCTAATCAGTCATTATCCCTTCGCATCAAAACTATCCAACCGAACCCATGGACCCTCTCGTTCCATCTTAGCCAAACGATGAAGGAGGATACGTCCCAACATTAGACCACGACGCTCTCGTTGCTCCCGTCACCGGCGCTGCCTGGGCATAACCTTGCCCATGCCCAAAACCTCCTATCCCCGCCCCCGTCCCTGTTCGTGAACCTGTTACCCCTTGATCCTGATTCGTGGCGTGGTGCTGGTGCCATTGGACATTAACTTGGGGATAGCTCGCATTTGCCCCGGCTGGGTTGATGATATTGGTCGGTGACGCAGAAGTAGATGACCCGCCCATTGACTGTGCAGTCTGTCTCCTCGCAGTCGAACTTGATCGCCCGTTAAGATACCCTCCAAAAGCCACCCTGGGTTGGTGTTGCTGTTGCATCAGAGAAAGCGGTGGCGGTGGAATACCCGCAGCCATCCCCGGCGCTGATGGCGTGGGTAAAGTAGATGTAAATCCATGTCCGGTTGTGGAAGAAGATATCGGCACTAGTGTCGTAAGTGGTGGTGCAGTTTGCGGTGGTAGCATTCCCATTCCGACTGTCATGCCGTGTCCCATCCCCATCATTCCCGGAGCTGGTGCCGATGCCGGTCCTGGTCCAGTCGGCGACTGCCCCGTTCCCGTCCCTGTAGAACCCATCTGCACAGGACTATGCGTATAATTCCTCCCTTCTTCTGCATTACCCTGACTCTGTCCCTGACTTGGTCCCTCACCACGTCCTTGTCCTTGGCCTGCTCCCAGCATCATCGGCATCGTCGTCGACACCGCCCCCGTCCCAGTCATTCCCGCCGCAGCTCCCATCCCCGATGCAGTTCCCATCCCCAACCCAGCCGCAATAGGGTAAGAGCTCTGCCTCCTCCCCTCCCTCCTCCGTCCCCCCTGTCTACTACCAACCCTCAACCTCCCCACCCCCAACCCCAAACAATTTTCCTCCACCTCTTTAATCCCCATATCCACCCCAGCCAGACGCATCCGTTCCGCAAGTCCCCTCCACATCTCCTCTCTCATAGCTACATACTCGCCCGCAATCCTCGCCAGTCGATCCTCATCGACTTCCTCCTCTGCTTGCTGTTTTTCTATCAAACGTTCGTGGCGCTTGCGGCACGCGTTGGCTGTCTTGCCGGGAAAATGCAGTCTTTGGAGCTCGGACCAGGGGAGGTGGGAAGAGCGGGAGGAGAGGAGGAGGGCGTCTTCTTGCGGGGTCCAGGGCGTTGTGGGGTTTATGTTGTGTACTTGGAGGGAAGGGGAGTGGGGATGGGGGTTTGAGGGCTGTGAGTGGTGTGGGTGGTGTGGGTGCGGTTGGTTTGGTGGTTGATGGACTTGGTGTTGTTGATTTTGTTGTGGTGGTTGATTTTGGTGTTGTTGCGATTGCGGTCGGAAATGGTTTGGTTGGTGGTGGGCGACGTTTTGGTTCGCGATAGTGGGGTTTTGGTGTTGAGGTTGTTGTTGGTGTCGTTGGTGTTGAGGATGATGCTGTAAGGATTCATGCTGCAGCGGTTGTTGTAGCGGTTGTTGCAGCGGCTGGTGGTGCTGATACCCTGTAAGCTGAAAGTTTGGCGCTGAAGAGGGGCTGCTGTTGTTCTGATTCGGCCCCTGCAACGAGTAAGTCGACGACGCCGACAACGGTGACGATTGTTGACCAAAATTCCGAGGTATTGTTTGTGGCGAGGATGTTGTTGTCATCGCAGGAAACTCGGACCTATATTGAAGATTTATCATTCCCGAAGGTCCGATCCCAGACCCGGCGCCGATCCCAATCCCGGTGTTCGGGCCGTACCCGAAATTCGGCTGTGGGGCCGCTGATTGTTGTTGCGCCGGTGAAACCCCGGGTGTCACTCCCGCAGCTGTGCTCACTGACCCGGGCCCCGCGGGTTGGTACATGCTCCCCGTACCCATACTCCCACGACCTCCGCCATGGTTACTACCGCCACGGGTCCTGCTAGTATTGCTCGGATATGGTTCCGACCTCACCACGGCTTGGTATCGAGGGTGTGATTGTGGCTTTGGCATAGCACTGGTTGTTCTTTCCTGTTTCGAGTCTGTCTGTGTCGGGATGCTGTATGCTGAATCTGGATGGACTGCTGTATGGTGATGCTATGCTATGCTGCGCTATGCCGGTGTGCTTGGTGCTGATGCTTGCTGTAGTGTAGTGCAGTGTGATGATCACATCGGCAGCAGTGCGAGAAGGGTGGTTCCAGGTCCAGGTGGTGCAAGCACAACACAACGGGGTGGGACTGTGATGGATGGTGATGAGTTTCCAAGCCGTCTCAATATTCCGATTCGCCAGTCGGATAATAAACGTTTGTCTGGGATGGAAGCATCCCTGCTGTGACCTTTCTGTCCAGACTTTTGAGTTTGACTGTTGTGTCCTTCAAGAAGGGTCCTGAGATATGCGACCAACTTGGCGACTGGAGGATCAAACACTTTCGTACGGGTCAACGGCGGCCAGGGTTGAGACCCTTTGAGGTTTGAGGATGTTCCCGGTCGATGTTGAAGGAAACGATATAAGCTTGGGTCAAGAGGTAGAACCCCGAAGATCCGGGGAGGAAGAAGACGGGAAAAGCACAGGGGTTGTTTACTCTTACTCTCATCAGATAAAAGAAAGCGTCAGCAGATGTCATGGACATGGTGAGGCAACCAGACAACAACACCATGCCGACCCGACTCCATGGTCCAATGTCCACCGCTTGGCGGCAAAGGAAATGGACCCCCAAAACACGCCAAGGGAAATTGCAAAGTGTTTCAGAAAATAAGCCGCAACCCAAAATCTACAGGTCGGTCCCGGGATTCTGCTTGGGACAAGCTACGATATCCCAAACTCGATCGAGGTCAAGATTGGTCCGTCCCCAAAAGACCCTGTGAGGCAACCGCCATGTGGACTGCACTGCAATGTGGACGCAGATGCACCTCCCACGCACATGCGAGCAACCCCAGGGTCCTCTGGCTCGGGTGGGTACACCGCATACAGGTGGCATAAGGGGTTGCATTTGTTGTACATGTTCCCAATTTGAGAAGATATCAGCCTGTGATGTTGATGGAAAGTGTTTCGTTCGTAGCAACGACAACGACCCCGGAACTGGAGCTAATCAACTCGATCAATAACGCTACTGCATCGTGAGATTTGTGACATGCACCGCACCGTGGCAGCATGACAGTTGGCATCCCAAGGGTAATTTTACTCTGCAGCAGTGGAGGAAGCGATGATACCCTGATCTGCATGTACTGATGTTAGTGGAGAGATGGGTACTGCGGGCAATCACTAACAGCCAAGCATCACGGCGCCATCGACACTTGACACTCGACTTTGAGATTTTTCGGGATGCCGACTCTGGAAGGGAAAGAACACATGATCAAGGTCATCGACGGTGAACACGGATTGACTGGCAAAGCAGATGAAAACACACGTGAAATTCGACTAAATACAGACTGGGGCCATGGTTGATTCGGCCATCCACCACGGCAAGGGCGCCGGAGTGGGCGACAATCGGCCAACAGACCCTGAAGTCGGCACTCTACACCAAGTCCACGGCCATCTCCTTGACGCCATCGAACTGCTTCCCATCCTGCACCACAAACCACCCAACACGTTGAAACTTGCCCTTTCCATCGCGGGTAAGCAACAGACCCTCATGCGCGACAACGAGTGAGCACCAGATGTTGGCCGGTCTTGGATCGCTGGGAAAGTCAAAGTAGCCAAGGGCGAGGTAACTAGGTTTTGCCGGTCCACTTGGTGCCGTTGCAGGTTTTGCGCTCGGTGCAGATTTGATCGACTCCATCATGATTCCCTCTGGCGTCAACGGCGTCTTTTTCTTGAGGACATTGGTGCAGCGAACTTCGACGGCTTTAACGAATAGTTGCAATTCCAGTGAGGGCATGTACAGCACATCCGGACTCCCTGCCCCCCGCTGGTTGGTCCACGACCCCTTTGGATCGCGCGGTTTAATGTGGATGTTCTTGGGATCCATCCATTTGGACTCGATGCGAGGGTTGGTATCCCAGAATACCTCACCAGCAACATTGGCCCAGCTCCAGGAAGGAGCGCGGATGACGGGCTTGCCTGGGATCTCGCCTTTGCGCTCGGTGAACGGAGATGCAAGCGGCTTCTCAATGGGTAAAAAGTGTCTGCGACTGACATAACTCCAGCGTGATTTCCAGAGCAGCGCCCTCGGCATGTCACACTCCCACAATCCAGCCAAGTATCTCGCCTTCAGGATGCCGTGCGTAATCATGGCTACAGAAACAATACAAGCAAAGATATCATGCGGCTCTGTCAAGGCTCGGGGTGTAAAGCTCCCAAGCATCTGATACCATCTCCTCAAAACTTCGGGTTTGGTGCCGGGATTGAGAGAGGTGAGAGATTGTTCTCGCTTGGAGACATCAGTATCTACACATCCGTCTTCGTATCGCGTGTGGAGGCGACATTGGTAGGATACCTGATCTTTCCCGAAAATGAGGGAGCGGTTGGAAAGAAGGGCTTCTTGGAAGCACCAGCCTCTCATATCTACCGGACCGACAGTCTTGGAGCGTTGGATTGTCAGGTAGACAGTTCCAAGATCTGGGCCCTCGCCAGTATGTGGATGAGGACCGGTTTTCATTGGAACCGGTTTTGGAAGATTCTTGCTGGTCAGGTAATCGTTTGTCACAAAGCCGAGACCGCTATCGGCAGACCGGCCGGCGATGATAGTCAGTTCGGCATTGCCATAGACCGACGCCATGCGCTTGGACTCGAACTCCCAATCTTCTTGGTTTCGCTGAATAATGCAGAGGGCGTCGATCCAGAGATATCGGATACCAAGGAGGCGAGTGAGATCGATGGCTTCGATATGGGTCTTGCTGAGCTTGGATTCGGGGAGGAGCTTGGTGAAGTCGGCAAAGTTCTTGGCGTTGAGCATCGCTTGAGTGCCTCTGCCCCAGCAATAAGACAGGGCCGTATAAGGCTGCGGCTGCTTCAGATCCTTGGTCAAGACGATTCGAGTCACCCTTTTGGCGGCAGGCAAGGTCTGATCTCCAACGTCGATAACCCTCGTAGGCATCTGTCTTGGTGTAGGAGGGGAAGCCTGGTTGCAAACTCCGTGTGTTTTGCGACAAGCGTTCAACGTCCCCTTGGCAAACGTCGCGTAGTATTCACGGTTGTGAGCATTAGTGCTGTATCTTCCCGCAAACAAGGCGCCGGCGGGGGTAGCAGGGTCAGCAAAAACGGCCAGATGGGTTTGCAATTTGGTTGGCGCATCGTGGCCAGCGGCTGACACAAGGACGCCGCAGGAGAGCCAGATCTGGTCGGGAACACTGGCCGTGCCTGCAGGGTGCCATTCGCCGCGAAGGTAGATCTTGAAGTCGCCGTTGTTGCTTGATTTTGCAACATGGGTGGGAAGTTTGCGGGCGAGACAAGCTGCGATGTCCTCTGTGCTGCAGTCCCGTTGAAGCTGAGTCCACCACAAGTTACAGCTCTCGCACTTTTTGGCCGATTGGACGAGGGAGTTTAGGTCCGGGTGGAAGACCACATCGTCGTTGAAGACGTCGTAGAAGCGCAGGGTCGAGCACTTGGAGCAAAGGGCGGGCGCCATTGTGTTGTCGTTGATGGATGTCGATGACCGGCAAGGGAGATGGGATGTCTTGGGATCATGGATAAATCCATAATTTGGCTTCTGCAATCATGATGGTTGTTGATATGCACGTGAAGCTGACGGCGTCGTGGGGCAGGTCTTGATCATTGGTAGCGCCGAGGGCGGCCGCGTCTGGCGTCTGTAGCTGCGCCTCCAGCAGATGGGATTGGCTAGCTCATCGCGTCGCGTATCTCATATCGGCCATCGTTTCGTGGGAATATCGCCTTTGGTGTTGTTTCCAGCTCAGCGGTGAGCTATGTTTGCGGTTGCTTGTGATTCGAGGGATTTCCTGAAGCCATTGGTGATGATGGAGATGTTGCGAAAAGTTGAAGTTCAGAAGGAAGCTCCGAAGTGTTCCTGTCGGATGAGGGGCAGATGCATGGAAAGCAGCGAAAGGACGGTCCGAGCTTCAGCGCCTTGAGCAGTACAAAGGGCTCCACTTTCCCCAGACGATAACGATAACGGCGGGGTACGGGTACCTTGATGGTCACAATTCGTCCTTCTCTCTTTCCATTCCTTCCTCTTTCTGTCAATCGCAATGCAGACGGCCTCTTCCTTCCTTCTCTTTGCAATGCGCCGTTTGTGTGACAATTCCCCAGCCAAGATTCCTCATTTATAAGCTGACTTTCCGCGTTGGCTCGCAATGGCTTTTCTCCACCTCACAATTGGTTGACCACGTTCGGCGTTAACGACCATTCGGCGTTTTGTCCCCTGCTCACCAATACTCGCTAATCGCCAGCGCCTCGATCGCTAATGCTGACAGCACTGCAACTCCACTGACGGTTGCCTGATACGGCCACAGTGAAAGACAGGTACAGAAGTACAGCTAACTCCGACACACAAGGCCCCAGCTTCTGTCCCATCGTCTTCGCCTTTATGATTCTATCGTTGTCAGCATCAAGCACATTATTGACGATGCCTCGCAAAACAGTCCTCCAAAGTCGACTGGCATGCGATCGATGTCATTCCCAGAAACTGCGATGTCCACGACAAGACAAGACCACAAAAGATACAGATGGATCATCGAAGCCATGTGTCCGCTGCGAGCGCGCCAAGGTGCCCTGCGTCTTTAGCCCACGCCAGCGCCGAACCGTGATTCCAAAGTCCGCCAAGGTTCCCAAAAAGCATACACCTCCAAATCGCGACATTGTCGATAGTGCCGATGCTACGCCTGCCTCCACTGGCCCGGCGTTAACGAGGACAGCTCAAACGGTGCCGGAGAATTCGGAAGTCAACTTTGGTTCCTTCGTGGAGGGGGAGATTTCGTCGTGTAGACTGGACAACCCCCTAGAGGCACCCAGCACAACTGCCACACCAACAGATACCCAACAACCCTTTGATGCCACCGATCTACGCCAGGACTTCTATGGCTCCTCATACTTTGATGGCAGCAACCTCCAGTTGCAACAGTCCTCGACGGATTCATCCTCCGATCCATCAACCACCTGTACCGACATTTGCCCTCTCTCGCTTGACACCACCACAAGCATAGACTGGGACAGCCTCCTCCTCCTCCCAGACCCTCTTCCTCCGCCATCCCAGGGCTGGTCTCTTCTAGACTTCGACAAATCTCTCCTTCCAGGTCCCGCTCCCGACCCACTCTTCCCTCCACATGGTCCTCAGCTTTCCTTCGACCTCACGACCAACTCATCGAATAACAACGACATCGACCCCGTCCGCTTCCTTCCCTCCTCCAACCTTTCGGTCGACTTCTCCAGCCCTCAAGCCCTGACGCCCTACTCCCCCGTCCGCCAACTAGCCAACCTCAACGTCTCCTTGTACGAACACCTCTGCCTGGTTCCACAACTCTACAGCAACCGCGGCCTGCCAACCCTCACGCCAGTCTTGCGCATCGACGTGCTAGAGAAGCGGCTGCTAGCAATCGACCGCACCTTCCAGTTAACCCAAGAACTGATCGATATCGTCGGAAAACTCTACCCACGCTCCGCTCCCCTCTCAGGTAACGCCCCAACCGTTCATCGCACCGGAACAGGAGTGCCCTTGGCGCAAGACCAAGCCACTGTCCTCTTACTGCTGTCTTGCGCGCAAAGGGTATGTGACGTCTACGACCTGATGCTCAGTCACATGCGCAAGTGCATGAAGAGGAACTCCCTTCCGCACTTTGACGAGGGGCTGAAGCCAGTGAGACTGCCACCATTCAGAGTAGCGGGGGTGTATGCGCCGCCAACAGACAAGGCTGTTACGTTGCACATGTTCATGGTGATGATGATGGCTAGTAATCTGTTTGATCAGTTGCAGGAGGTTCTGGGGTTATGGAGACATGACGAACTTGGTGGGGTGGAGGTGGATGATCTGCAGTATCCGGCCTTTGGGAGGGAAGCGAAGGAGGCGATACGGAAAAAGGCGAGGGATGTGACCATGGAGATTGTGGGTATTAGGCAGATTGTCATGTCGTTTCCAGGCATGGGCATGGAGGAGACGAGACAGGGGGTTTTGGAGTTGAGGACTGGTGGTGGTGCTTCGTCGATTTCGAGTGAGATGGGGAAGGTGATTGGGGAGGCTAAGAGGTTGGCTATTGAGGGTGCTGCTACTTGTGCGGGGGATTGGGATGGGGAGTGTTATTGAACTGAAGGGGTTGAAGGGATTGTAATACTAACAAATCTCTTCTCTGGCTTATGACGGCCAGTTGTATCAACTCATCGCTTATATATCCATCCTGCCCTCACTCTCTCTTCTCCCGCCTTCCCAACCAACTCCCCTTCCTACTCACTCCAACACCTCCTAACAAAATCCAAAACCTCGCCATTAAACCTCACCGCTTCCTCCCAAAACAACCAATGCCCACTCTCAAACCAGCTCACCTCTGCCTTTTTATTCCCCCCCTTTCTGACCCTTTTCACAACCTCCTCCATCCCCTCCAAACTAAAACATCCGCTCCTCCGTCCACCCATTACAAGCACCGGCACTTTAATCCCCTCACATGCCTCCCTATGGTCATAACGCGTGTGATCAGCTATCAGCTTAGCTAGCCATTCCCCCGAGGGACACTGCGCTGAGATTCTTGTAAAAAAGTCTTCGTCCTGCTGTTTTTGTTCGTCGGTGATTCTGTCGGTAGGGAGAGGGCGGTATCTGTAACCCAAGCACTCGTCGACAAGCGCAAGATGGGTATCGTGCCGTTCCTTTGAGTAAGGGAGGTGGTTCCATGCCGCCTGCGCGCCCAGCATTGTGCGCTCGTCATAGCAGCCTTTATGAGCTTTGCTAGCGTCCCAGGGACCGTCGAGACCGAAGGGGGAACGGTCTTGGAGGGGGCTTGGTCGACGAAGATTAGACCGCTGAAGGCGGAATCAGTGAAGAGTTCGATGTAGCTTTGGAGGATTGCGGCGCCTATGGAACACCCAATGGCGACGGTTTCGAGGGGGGGTTGCGGGGAGGTGATGGAGTTGTTGGGGTTGTAGGGCGAGGAGGAGAGGCGGGAGGTTTTGAGGAAGGAGAGGAGGTTGTGAAGGTCTGTGGCAAGGCGGGCGACGTGATACCCGCCTGAGTAAGTGTCGTATCTTTTGTCGTTGTTGTTGCGGCCAGTCTTCCCTCCTTTGACTCCTTCCGAACCCTTCGTTGTTTTAGGTTGGCCTTCAGTTCCTTCATCTCTCTTGCCCGCATTTCGTTCGGCGTTTAGATCTCTTTCTCTTTCATTGGCCTTCTCAGCATCCCCCTCCTCATCACCCTCCTCCTCCCCATCATCACCCCCCTCCTCAGCGTCATACTCAACCCCGGGTCTCCTCTTCCTCAACCCACTCCTCCCATGCCCTCTCATATCCCAAGCCACCACCCAATGATTCTTACTCAACTCCTCCCAGTTGCGATCAAAGTACTCACTTGACCCAGAGAACCCATGCAACAGCAAAATCAAGCGCGAATAATTCGGTCCCTCCCCGGCAATGACTGAGGCTTTGGATGCGCTGCGTGCACGATTACCTGCTTTGCCGCTCGCGCTGTTGTCGACGGTGCCCGTTGGAGCTGCGCCGCTAGTCTTGGTACCCGTCGGACCGGAAAAGGTCAGGATGGGGGAAGTAGGGATGAAGTTTGGATCTGGGGAGGTGATGGGGAGGGAGGATATGAAGGTTAGGAGGGCGCCGTCGGAGGCGGAAAAGGTCGTATAGTGAGGACGAGGCATTTTGAGGGGTTTGGTTTGGGGGTTATTCGCTTTCTTTCTAGGGTATGAGTTTGTAAAGGTGTTTGGTGGGCGACGGGGTTGATGCGTTCCGGTTGGTGAGCTCGTGAGATGGTGAGGTTGTAAGTTGATGAGCTGACGAGGTGCTAAGGTGCTTAGCTGGTGCTGGCTTTGATGAAGTTGAATTTGAGTAACGATTACCTTATTGAAGGCTAAGGTAGGTTACGAAAGACCGAGTCGTGGATAGCTAGGAAGTAACGGGGGCTTAAAAGGGGCGGCAATGTTGAGCCTGGAGCGGGAGCGGGTGCGGGGATGAGATCGTGATCGGGCGTGACCGGTCAATTGGGCAGCGCCGAACGGAAGCTCAAAAAAGACGGATGACGCAATGTGGGATGCGGGATGCGGGAGATAAGATAACGCCCAGATACGCTGATTGTTCGAGGACCGGTGAGGTGAGTTGCTCATGCAAAACTGTTTGATTCTTCCAGCTCAATGAGTCGTTGAAATGAGAGGTGAGTTGGATTCAAGAGAGGTCGGGCTTGACAAAATCATAAGAGGTGCGAGGAAGTGTTGCACGACGTCGAAAAAAAGTTGCGACTCCATTCCCAAGACTGGAGCTCATGCGGGGAAGGTGGATAAGGGTCAGGGTTATAGCAGGGAAAATCCCTCAATGATTTTCGGTGCTGTGGTTTGTGGAACTCGGATTGACACCCCAATTTTGGCATTCAACATGAACTCGTTTGAACACCAAGCAGCAACATCAGCAGGTGAAGATCATTGAGAGTCTCATTCCGACTCATGTGTGATTCATTTGAAAACACAGATTTTCCTTACGCAGCATCAGCTTGAAAGCAATCAAATGTTAGGGGGCAGGCTCGCAGCAACGTTTGCCACTTTGTTGAGAATGCAAGCCAACTTTCACGGCAGGATACAAGTCGTGGAGATCTTGGGACCAAGATGCTTATACAGTATACGCAATTGGCACGATTTGAGTTTGGAATAGCGATCATCACATCTTCATTCAGGGGTATCTACAACGTCTCCTCTCTTCCAGGTTTCCCTTCGCGAAAAAAAACATCGCAACGCTCAATGCATCCATAGCGTATCCTTCTCCTCCCCTCTATCCCATCAACTCTTCCTATCGGATCTTAAAACGACCTCCTCCCGCTCACCAAATCCGCATCCTCAGGCCTGACCCTCTTAGTCTTCTTAAACAGCTTCCACCACAAGATATTGATCAAAAACACGGGAATGCCAATATAGCTCGTCACGAACTTGTCCACCTGGAAATGCGGGAAGAAGGCGCCATATCCGTTAAAAACGATGATCAAGATCGTCAGGAACAGCGCAATCGGAGCACCCCATGGCAACAAAATATTCCTGTACGGCATGGCTTCGCGAGGAACGCCCTGCACCTTCATGGCCTTGATCATGAAGAGGTACGAGACGAGAATGGCGACCCAGTTCAGGGCACCAAAGACGGTGACAAGAGACACGAAGTAGCCAAAGACCTGCGCGGATCCCTTGGTGGCGTTCATGTAGCCCAGAAGAATAAACAGCGATGAAAGGATGACGGCTGGGATGGGCACACCGCGCTTATTGGTCTTCATCATGATCGCTGGCGCTTGTCTGTCCTTGGCCAGAGCCCAAACGGTTCGGGAAGCGAGGTAGATATCCGAGTTGGCGGCCGACACGGTGAAGATGAGCAACATTCCATTGACGGCGTCGTCGAGCTTGTTGATACCAGCGTTCTTGGCCGCCACGACAAAGGGGGAAGCCAGACCACTGGTTTTCTTAACAGCGCCGAGCAAGGGGTCGGTGTACTTGACGGCCATGCCCAGTACGATGATACCGCCAATGTAAAAGAACACGATACGCATGAGCGTCTGGTTGACGGCGCGGGGAACGTTCTTGCGGGGGTTGGGGGTCTCGCCGAAAGCGACGCCGACGAGCTCGGTGCCGAGGTAGGCAAAGGTGGCCTGGACCATGCAAGCCCAGACGCTCAAGAAACGGCCGGTGGCGCCCTGGATGACAACCTTGTCGTCGCCTGCCGAAGCCGAATACTGGGCAATGGCGCCAGGGTCACGCCAGTATTTGAAGCCGGTGCGCACGTGGTTAGGACCGCCGCCGAGGGCGATGATGAAGCAGAGGAGGATGAGCATGACGATGACGAGGGCCTTGATGAGGGACATCCAGAATTCTGCTTCGCCGAAGAATGCGACATGGATGAGCTGTTACTTGTTAGCTTTGCGCCCACCAACCAACACCGGGGAAGGGAAACGTACGTTGACAGCGATGATTGCCACACCAAACACTGTAATCCATACTGAGACATTGATGTCCGGTTTCCAGTATTGCAGAATGATGCCCGTAGCCGTCAGGTTATTGGGCAGCACAATCACGTATTTAAAAAAGTAGTTCCAGCCCGTAGCGAAACCGAAGGCAGGATCGACGAAGCGCGAAGCGTAACCGGAGAAGGACTTTTTGTGCGGCAGCCATGCGCCCATCTCGCCGAGCGCAACCATGACGATGTAAACGATGAATCCCATGATGATGTAGCCGATGAGCAACGAGGCGGGTCCGAATTTGAGCGAAGTGCCGGTGCCGATGATGAGACCGGTGCCAATGGCGCCAGCGATAGCCATCATGTCTGGACAAGACCCATGTTAGCCATTGGTTGTGACCAGTTGGAACTGGGGAACGAAAAGACTTACTCAACTGGCGCGGCTTCATGCCACGATGGAGATCATCGGGACCCTCGCTCTCGCCATCCTCGTCGACTCGACCATTGTTATCGCTACTGTAACTAATGTCGCGTTCAATACCCTCGTCTTGGCCGTAGGCTGGTGTAGTCTTTTCGTCGCTCCTCCCTTTGAGGAAGTTGAATTTGGAGGCCATGATGGGCCAACTCTATCGGTGCTGTTCCTGACGTTGTCGTGACAGTTGATCTAGGTAGTTTGGAAATGAGGGAGTATATGTCAAGTAAGAGGGGATCCGACCAAGTTCAGGTCCGTCCGTTGAAGGAACCGGGAAGAACAAGAGACGGGACGGTCAGGAAACAGAAGCGTGTGACAGAAAAATATGAGACGCAAGTCTAGACCGAGGAAATGACGACCAAGGGAACGCAGGAGATTGGAACTTATAATCTTCGGCCGAGAAGCTCACATGGGGAAGGAACGAAGCCCGGGTCCCTGTGTCCCAATCCATGTACCGACCTGGGCCGCCGCTGAGCGTTATCCAGGCAGATAAGACGACCTCCATTTGTCCATATCGTAGCATGGAAGATGGGGGGAACTGGGGTGATGGAGTGGGTTAGCTGAAGGCGGCTCTCTTTTCCTGTCCCGGTTTGTGTTGCACTGGTTACACTGCACCGGATTCGAAAGGGTGAGAAAAGAGAGACCAACTCGGTGAACGAATGGGAGACACGAGTGCGGGTGGCTGACATGCGGAATCTCCAATTCCTTGCGAGAAGAACGTTGCATCGTCCCAAGTCCCGTGCGGGGGAGATGAACAAGGGACGAACTCCCTTCACATAGCCAACCCCAACCCTGGACCCCAAATCATGGGCCAAACAGCTGGAAAGGGAAGAACACCAACCGTGAGCACGCGAGGGATTGGCACTGCTCGATACTGAGTGGTCAGAATGACCAAAAGCTGGAATGCCATCATGCATAACGGCGGCCCCACTAGCTTCTTCCAGCGACCGAAGGCAGTGAAAGGGTAGCCAGCCACTGTAACCTCAACTTGCCACTGTGTGTCTGCGTGTGAATGTTCATCCATTCCAACGAGCTTGGGGATATCGTATCTTTGTTGTTCTTATCGTGGCTCCGTAGGAATAACACCGAGATGTTGACTGATAACGATAGCGATATATATCCTGATAACTTATTCTTCGACATCAATCGGGCCTGGCTGTGGATTCTTGCGGTTATCTGTGGATGTCATAAGCAGACCCGACACTAAAATCGGGATTGAGGGATTGACAGAGGCCGCTAATGTTTTACACCAGGGGCACGACATGGGCCAAAGACGGGGCATACTGGGGAGTGCGGAGAAGGAACGGGATCAGCGACACAGAATCATCCAGCTTGAGAAATCTCTCGGTGTTCGAAAACTGAAGTGAAAGGCTGAGCAAGGCGAGACAGCGCAACACAGCGACGAACAATGTCTCGCAAGATCGGTCACCACAAGCATGGCTCGGTTCATGTTGTGTCCAAGGCAGATTTGACAGCCATAAATACTGGCACAGCCCTGGCCCTGAATGACATGCCAGATTGGACCGAGCCCCAAACTCGGTTCCTCACTCAAATACCAACACCAAAAACACCGCAACAAACATCACAACAACCAACGACCAAAACCAGGAACTTGAACAAACAAGCCCCAAGCCGGGCAGGGCCGTGGAAGGCAAAAGTCAAGACGGGATTGACATGTGCCCAGCCAGCCCGTGGCTTGCCCAGACGGCTTGATTTCAAGATAAGGCAGGAGAATAAGAAACGCCCAGCTCTTGTCGTCTTCTTGGCGGGTGTGAACAGGCGCCAACGCCCAGCCGCCGTCAATGCCCGCCCGTGGAAGTGCCAAGCCTGCTAGTGTAGGACCAACATTGCAGAATGAGGAAGGTGCAGATATTTTGACCTGGACACCCTGAAGCATCCACAGGCACAATCGGGGTTTCGCCGCACCGACGGAAGCCGCTGTGAACCTGGAAAACATTGGTAACAAGAATGCGACACGAGTTGTTGATCGACGTTCATGTTGAGGGCTTAGCGTTAAACTTGAGAAATCTTTCAACTTGTCATTCTCGGAGTCGCATGTTCTTTGTGTTTTGTGGTCAGCATGTGGGTGTCGGTGTCGATTGAAGTTGGGCGCTGTAATGGATTCAGGATTGAGAATGCGGGGGAGTCCTGGGGAGACAAAGCTCCGCTTGCCCAATTACAGGCCTTGGCGCCGACGGGACCCATTTTGGCTCGAGTTCGACACCAGAGTCTATTTTGACGACATTGTCAGCCCGGCAGGCCACTCCGACACTCTATTGTGCCGTGAGAATCCGCCAATGTTCATCTCACACGCTCAACGTTTGCGGTTTCTTTCAGGTATTGAACTCGAGTGGTCTTCGAGCGTCGGTTGACCCGGAGAAGTGTCGGTCGGAGGATCATTCGTGCTCAGCGCTAACTGTTGCCTCGAGCAAGATGACAGTGGGATGGAGTGTCGAAGACTCGACGGTTTGTTGACACGCCGCAAACTTGCTTGCTTGTTGGGACAGACGTGGTTCACCCGAGTCGACGGGTTTCTAGCAGCCCTCGCGGTCATACTACTCGACTTCACGAGTCTGTGTCGAGAGGAAGAGTGCAACAGTCCGTATGGTCGAGGGCGTTGCGGTAGAATGGCGACAGGGAACCGGTGAACGGAGATGGGCGGATCGAATAAACACACAGGTGAGTCAGCTTCGTGGAGATATGATGTTCGTGCTTAAATATCTCGATCGCGGTATGGCGACGGGAGAGAGGGATCGCGCAGGGCGGGGACCGTAGGGTCTGAACATCTCAGTTGTGTGAACATTCTGTGACGGATGCAAAGCGCGAGGAGAGGTTCGGGACCGACTGAGGCAAGAAAGAGTCAGAGAGAAGGAAAAAGGGGAAGGAAGGAGACCAAAAGTGGAAAAGGATGTTGGAAGGAAAGAGTGTCTCTGCAAATATATGCATGTTGATGCAGCAGGTGCAGCCTCCTCTCCCAAGGACGGAAGGGACAGGAAGTCGCAGTTGCCAACTGACAGCATCAGGGCACTTGCTGTTTATCAGCGCCTTCCTTTCGGGGCTTTTGCTCTCAACCAAACGCTGAGTGCAGTGGTGTATCCTCGTTCCGCCGACAAAGTGTCCTTTCCATCTTCATCCTTCCTTCTCTTCCTTTCATCATCCACTTCTCATCTCCCCTACACGGGCAACAACAAACCCGCTCACCAAACCCTCAACCATCAACCATCGTCCTCCACTATGTACGCTCCCCCTCAGCGCCCCGACTTCGTCCCGCAAGATATTTGGGACCGCGAGATGGGTCGAGCCACATCGGGCCTTCCATCGCTCACCATCAAGATCGACATGCTCCTTTTCAACCCTTCCCCTGCTGGCCTCCCGCAAGATTGGCCGACCGACATCCAGATCGACCAGTATGTCCGACAAACCCCCACCGTTTCGTACAGAGCCCGTCTGGTAAATGGGCAAGCGGACTTCCGTCCTGTTCAGGTCCTTCAACTTGCTTCTCGTGGTAGGTTCCCCCGCGTACTGTAAACGCTTGGTTCTGAATGGATGAAGCAGACAGCTAACTAGACGGTCTTGGTTACAGGTAGATGCCGAGGACGTCGTGCCTATTAAGTGCAAAGAAAGGAAGCTTCGAGGCCCGAAGAGCGACGTTTGGAGAAGTACCCTAAGAGTTGCAGGTCCGGCAGACTCCTCGCCCGGCGTGATCAGGGCCCATTTGTACTCGAACAGTTCAGCCACGATCCTGTACCGGAGCAAAAACGTGGCATTTCCCACAGGCACGACACATGGTGGAATAAGGGGGATCTGAGTGTGCCAAGGTTAGTTGGGCTTTCTGGCGCAATGAAAACAATAATATACACCTCGTTTCAGCTGACATTGTTGTCACAATTCTGCCTCCCCTTCCACCTTATGCGGGCTCTGTTCAGCTGGCTCCGACGCCACATTTGTCTCTTCCAATGCCCTTCCGCTTCGTCCCCGTCAACACCCTCCCGCCACTTTGCACGTCTACCCCACTGTGACACTCGTTGCCTTCTTTCACGTTTGTTGGGAATCGTCAACGGTGCCCCTCTTGCTGTCTTCCATCGGCCGTGTGCTGGACCAGACATCACCTACGCCTAACCGTCAACCTTGTGGCATACAAAGCCAGAAGCACAACTAAACACAAGTTGATATTTGACGACTTTGCAGATGCTCTTTCCTTCTAGTAGCCGCCTCGATCAGGTGCGAGGTGAAAAGTTGCCGACTTCCTCTGCTTCAACTTGTTTCACTCCTACAAGTCCGCTGTCATGCTAGTTGGTGAAACTTCCCACCACACCATCGTGGATTTTTGTTGGGTTTTGGGGAGAGTTACCTGACTCACCGAACTGCATCTCCTGTGCGCAATGTGTCCATAACTGAACGGGGCTCCTCTGCCCATCTTCCCGCGCCACAGTACCTTCACCCAAGCTGTCGGGCGGTCTTGGTGCCCTCCACCATTTCACATTCACCGCATTCTATTCCCGGGTGCAGTGGATGGCTTGAGGCTTCAAGCGAAAGCATCCCCTTTGCCTCTACGAAATCGCGCAGGCTTTTAGCTTTCACCTCAAGCTCGTGATTTGATAGGATACTGGTACCACCAAGCACGACGCACGGAGACAAAGGGTTGTTGATTCCGGTACCCTTCATAAAGGGCTCTGCAATAGGGGCATCCGTTTTGGTGGTGCTGAAGCTCATTGACAGCACATAAGTGGGGTCGATAATAGAGCCTTGCCAACAATCTCAGTCCAGCCACTCTTCATGTCATTGGTCCTCGCTCTCCCGTCTTTTCTCCTTTCTCGCTCGTCATAGCCTTCGTCAAGCAAGTCAACGGGACCTCAGCATTACACTCAATTTGTGCGTACTGCTACTTGTTCACCCCTTCCATCGTTATGTTTGTTGATCTATACCCATTCTAATTGCTACTATTCCATACGTTCACAACACCAGTATACTCGGCAGTACGACCGGGCCCCATCACCAATCGAGTTCAACATACCGTGTGCTCCGTCATCAGGCCGATTCCATACCAGAGCCACGCCCTGGTTGTAGTCGATAACGGTCACAACAAATCTTTCAAAGCATTCTAATAGGGCAACCATGCGTCCGATCAAGTTTACCGTTAGGCTTTCTGTGATCACGAGCGCAATAGCTGTCGTGTCCCAAAACAGTACTGTTTCCACTGGGTTACAGGAAGCAGTCGGCTGGGTGAACAATCCGTCACAAAGAGGCACATTGATGCTGCTCCTTGAGTGTGCAACCACTATTTTTGCTTGCACATGGACGGTCCTACATCTCAATGTCCCTGCCCTTACGGACTCAAAGACGGCTCGGGTATTGAGGAAAGTCAAGTGGATGTCCATTACTATCCTCTTCCCGGAGTTCATCTTCGCCAAAGGTGTATGCGAGCTTCGATTCGCGCTTCATACACTTCATTTGATGGCAGAGAAAATGAACAAAAGTCCGGCCGCCTTCCAGTCCGATTCAATCCATAAACCATCGACGTCGCCACCGTTCACAGTTACAAGGAAGTGGGAGGCCGCCTACGGCCCGTGGATGCAACTGCTTCACAGGTGGATTGTTCTACCGCTTTGGCCTCAACACATCATGGCCAACCAACTCGGCGACGAAGAGAGTAACGATCCGCCCGCGAGAAGATCCTCGACCTCGAGTGTGACCAGGGTAGAAGATCCAGAACTCGGAAACGCCCCTCTGGATGCCGGCATCCCCATGTCTGAGCGGACCGGAAGACAGGAGTCCCAAGTTTCGCAAGTCTGGACTATTTCTCATGCTTACTACGCCAACATGGGGGGCCTGGTTGCGCTTAAGTGCGAAACCGACTGTAATACTGATGCGTTGCAGTATTCGGTATTACGCGGCGATCATCTTGCCGGCTGGGAATTGGAAGAATGGCGGTTCGGACATCCTCTCAAGAAGCTCCAGCTCTCAGCAGCCGATATTGACGACAAAAGTAAAGCCGATTGGTTGGTGAAATTATTCTCCATGGTCCAAATCAGCCGACTTATTCTGGATCTTATCAATCGAGCTGCGATTCACCGACCTATAACACAGTTCGAGCTTGGGACTGCAGCGTTCGCTGTTTTCGCCATAATCACGTATCTGGTCAACTGGTGGAAGCCAAAGGACATTTCACATCCGACATCGCTACATGAGGTGGTGGATGAAAGGCGGCCGGATGAGGCCATTGAACGGTCTGCCGAACCCTTCTTCAACCGATTATTATCGCCTATGCCACGCACATTTCATTACCGCAAGATCGCCTCTCAGTATTACCGAATTAGGAACGATGAGCTATGGATGGATGGAGATTACCCAGTAGTCTGGCCTTTGATGGCAGCATCCTGTGTGGTATTTGGAGCTTTCCACTGCATTGCCTGGGGATGGCAGTTTCCGACCCATCTTGAGCAGCTCCTGTGGCAAATCTCTTCGGTGGTGTCAACAGTGTCACCCCTCGTTCCACTCGCCTTCACCTACTTTCTCATTCTCCGTGGGACTCACGCTCTTGTCCATCATCAAAGCGAAGCCGCGAAAGAAGCTTTGACCAAGCTCCGGCTGCTCCGAAGGCTGCCCGAAGCTTGGGTACAGCTTTTGAAGACCAGTGTGGACGACCAGCAGACCTGGGGACGTGAGTTCGGAGAGGGGCGTTACGAAATCGCTCGGAACAAGATTGTTGCATATTCGAAGTGCTTGCTTGAGCTCAAAGGCCACCGGTCAGCCTTAGCAGGAAAGCTCGAGAGGGGCCGCCAGGCAAATGTTCTAGAAAACATATGGAAAGGTCTAGCGCAACAGAAGGACATGTACTGGGAGCTGCACAACCTGCTTGGTGAAAAATGGGACAGATACGAAGAAGAGGTTACACTCGTTGCCCGGAGTGTGGGGACCGTGGTAGGCCTGGAGAACTACTACGAACCTAGACTTCTCAAGACGCTCCACGATTGTTGCCTGTCTGCTCCCAGATGGACTCACCGCTGGCAATACGTGGGCTCCAAAGAGCAGCTACAGTCGAGAATACGCAGATATGCGAAACCTACCAACATCTTCTTCGGCATCGTCTATGCAATCTCTCGTCTCATTCTTATTGGCATCATGTTCTCCAGTCTCCGCGAGGTGCCAAAGGGCGTTTACGAGGTCACCAGCTGGACCCGGTTCCTGCCGAGCTTTTCATGATCTAGTTAGGGAATCCGTTCATTGCTACGGCGAGTCATCGCGCGTCGAAAGAGGCCTTTGCTGAGAGTATGGGAAAGGATAGAACGGAACCCTAGACGCCCTAGTAATATCGTCACGAGAAAAGCACTGTACCAAACGGGAAATGGTGGCACCGTATTTTCCACGATTTCGTTCCATTCCAGAATTGGCGTTTTGCTGCCTGCTCTTCTCCTTTTCATGGTTCTACCACCTTTTTTCACGAACTCACGATCGTGAATGCCCTTTTTCTTTTTTTCTTCCTTGTTCTTTTTTTCTTCCTTGTTCTCTTTTTTTCTTCCTTGTTCTCTTTTCTTCCTTGTTCTTTTTTCTCTTTTTTGCTCAGGCTAATACTGGTGTCGTCCGGTTTTCAGTTCTCACGACATTACGAACCTGATTGTCTTTTTTTTCTCTTACACAATTAGGGGCTGGCGTTTGGTTGTCCGGGTTTTGGGTATCCAGCGGTCACGATAGAATGGAATAAAGGCAAGAGGAGCGAGAGGAAGGAGCGAGAGGAAGGTCCTGTCTCCGGGCAAGAAAACAGGAGCAACGAATGAACATGGGAAAGGTGAAGGCGCTGGCCATGGTCTGACGATGTTACGAGTAGGTATACTCGCGACAAACAACTGATTGTGTTATGATGCCTGGTTTTCCAGCGTTCTAGCTAGGGATGCACCTTTGCAGATAGGTAGACTTATCAATAACAAGAAGACAACAACAGAAACCACCCGCCTGGCGCGGATCTATATATGCCAGTTGCCCATCGTTGATTTCGTCATCCAGTCTCGCCGAAACACACTTTATCAATTGATTCTTCTGGGAAATATCCCATGTCCCTGATACCTAGTTACGTGTACACCTATACTGAAGCTAGGATGTTATTGCCCATTCTTATTTTTCGAGAACCAATGTTTTGTACACGACTGACTTCCATGTTTATATCGCGGAGACATGTCGGGACCGAAAAGCGAAATCAGGCAGAAAGACCGATTCCAAGACCCGCAACCACCGCCGTCTTGACAGGCCGGTTCCTCCGTGCTTCTGGGGATATCGACACCGGAGGCCTAGACTCAAATAGCCGCATCGACGGTGCCGTTTCATTTGCACTACCTCTTATACGCGGCCTCGGATCTTCCGTTCTGTTATTCTTAACGCGCCATTATTAAGTTTGCATTTGTTTACAGCCTTGATGCTAGATATAGCGAGGAAGAGAGATGTCGGGGACGAAGTCGACGAATTTTGATTGCCTAGGCACCGACAATATATTCCCCACCCTGGACTTGGCTCTTCTGTTCTTCCCGATTTCTTGTTTCTTGTCCTTTTCCTTCTTTATACAATTGTAATATCGAAAGAGTTATGGAATGAGTAGGTAATATTGTGAGCTTGCTGAATATGGAGACTCTTGTTCTAGTTGGTACCCATGGCGATCATGGCGCAATCGAACCTTGGCGGAACAGCTGAGGTAAGTGGGGAAAGAAGAGATATTGACGAAAGAAGAGGAGCGTTTCTTGGAATTAAAGTCCTTCCAATTCACATGGCGTGCAAAGAGGAAGGAAGGAGCATCCATAAGCTGATGCTAGAATCTAAAAGCGGGGTTGAGAAAGAAGAAGCTGCCCGGGCTTGCACGGTCGAGGATCGAGGTGGGCATGCAGATAACGACGCTGTATTTGTCATGCGGGCAGGTATGTTCAACCTCCATACCGGCGCAAAAGGGTAGAAGGGAAAGTGCTGAAGACCAGGGCACGCTTGCGCCACAATTTCATCTCCTTCTTCGGTTCAATTGTCTCTAAGGCACCCCAATTCTCCTTGCCGTAGCCACTATTGAAGACTCGACCACCTCCTCCAGGTAAGACGATGCGCAGCTTATACTTACCCATCAATGCCAGGGGAATGATGCCAAGATGGCACAACAGAAGTTAGGCAGGACTGATGAGATCAGCGGGGCGATGAGAATTATAAAGACCACTAAGTCCTTCAATCACAAAGCAGACTCTTCTCTTACTGCTCAGGAAGAATCGTTCCAAACATGTATACCGACATGGACTTATTAACACACCACCTCCCCTGTCATCACCAGACGAGCCAGCACAACTGCCATTCAACATGAGAGCCAGGACCAACTAGGGGTGCAATGAACCACATCAAAACCTTGACTAGCACCTTTGACGACGGCTGTTGCGGAGTACTAGGCTAGCACCATGCTTTGCCGCTCTTCGTCACCAACATGTTCCTGCACTGGTGTGTGTGTAACGTCACAACGGGAACATGTCGTCTCCGAATCTATGGACGAAAGGAAACTCGCCGAAATAAAGCTAGTTGTCTGGCCGATGTCGCTCGTGGCCGCTTCACCTCAGGCCAAAGGTGAACTCCACCCGACATCAGGGTAAGTGGGCGCCTCCGACGTCATGATACCGTTTTCTGCTGCTTACCACTTTATTGCAAATGAAGTGTTATTAAGGAACATCGAATCGAACCCAAGGCCTTGGGTGGATAGATGAGAATATGCACGACCACGCGCTTTGCGGGACAGAGACACGGTAGCGTTTATGTTACGGATCGCTATCCTCGGGCATCGCAAAACACCTTCAGGTGAGGTCCTCGGTGTGAACACCCTCACCTTTCCATCTAGCAAAGCAGAACCATAATACGGGTAGACCAACCGCGCCTTCCGTCCGCAAAAGCACATATTCAGACCAGCAGGCATCAAGGCCTTTCTGTGAACCAATCCAATGATCAACCAGTCTTTGGTCCCCGGTTAAATCGGGAATGGCCTCCGATTCGCAGCGGTCAGAGTCGCATTTGGCTCCTCAGCGCTGCATCCAGAACCTTCCCGCTCATCAGCTTGCAATGGCAAGTATTCTTCATGAACAAGCTTGACAACTTCGTCAACACCAACTTTGCTTTACGAGAAAAGAGGGCCAATGTCGTCGGTTCCGAACGTACAGCTCAACACGACGTATTCTCCAAGTCATCTCACGCTAGTATGCCGGCAACGAGACCGCGCGACTAGTGCGAGGCAACATGGTTGTATTCTCACATTCTAGGGTTGTACTGACCTGCTTGAATTGGGTGAGCAGATGTCGAGTTAATATACGTGCCGTCCCTTAGCTCCAGACGGGCGTTAGCGAACACTGAAACAGTAGTAGTCACCACCATCCCACATCTCAATGGGCTGACAGTAGGTCCTTCTCGTCCAGCGCAGTTCTGCTTCAAGTGCTAACTCTGACAGGTTGAACGACGACGTTCAAAAATAGAACGGGCAATATATCACTTGCTTCGGGCCCGTCCCGCGTCCAGAGTATCCCGACACCCAACCATTCTACGTGTTAGTGTCACCGCAAGACATCTCACGACTCGGTCATGGGTGCCAATGTCCTTTGACCTGATATCTTCCCAACACCGGTTTGAACCGTCGAGTCTTGTATCCTGTGCTGCTATTTACAACAAACCATGGTCCTGACGAGAAACTTATGCAAGAGAAGGCGCACCCCGCGTGAGCAACTGCAAGCCTCAAATGGCACGTCGTTGCGTAACCAGGATCAAGTCAGCCTCAGCTCTGAACGTTAGCGAGGAGTCAAAGTCTGGATCGTGGCTTAAGACACGGCTGGTATTCGGCTGCCCAGCACTCTCATAGGCTCAAATGAGGTGAGCCCAGGCGTCTATTGCCCTTAACCTAACTTCACCTTGCTGCGGCGCATGCTAACCTCTGACTTGCAGACTCTAGCCAAGTTACACACAAATCTTCTAGAAGAGCGAGCAAATCATCATCCAGGTTTCCGAAATATTGGTTCTCATGTATGTTGGCCATGTAGGCAAGGATCTGCGGCCGGCCTATACTGTTATCCCGTCTTTGCATCCCGGACCCAATATCAGGCTTCACCAGAAGAGGATGTCAGCAGCGAGCACGAAGACGGCAACCACTCTTCAGATTTCCAGGAAACCCAGACGCACATGCCGAGATACATACCACGATACCCACATTCCGTCTCATGGAGATGAGAGAGCTGCAGTGTGCGAGGACTTTTCCGACTCATCCTGATGGCAAGCCGGCCATGTGAGGGGCCTTGGGACTGTCGCCTCTATCGGAGCGGTAGAAGTATAAGTATCACCCACCTCGTCGACAATGTGAGTGATGGAGGCCACCAAGCAGGACTGGCGAGCTCCAGCAGATCATACCTGTAGCCAGCAGATTAAGATGCGCGACCTTCGCCCTCAACTCTCATTGTTCACAGCCGCTTGTGCTGTTTTGCTCTTGGGAGTATCCCAGTTAGTCTCGGCCAAGCCCCTTGACGCTCAACCTCATCAACGGAGTGTACAAACCTGTTGCCAAGGCAGGTGATTACACCTGGAGGGGCACCGTGCGGACAGAACAATGCGACCAACAGGGCGTGTTGGAAGAATAGCTGGAACATCAGCACTGACTATGAAGTCACAAATCCGCCTGCCTTCAACACAGTCAACGTGAGTCTGGCTTTCAAGATATTCTGCCCCGCAAGCTGTCCTCTAACTATCATGACTCCCGTCTCTCCCTAGGTTACTCTCCGTATTACAAACATTACCAACTGGGTTGGCCCAGATGGGGTTGTCAAGCCTGCTATGCTCATCAACAGTGAGTCGCACGCTGTTGGAATGTTAGCCAGACAGGCGTAGACTAACAACTTTCTGCAGACACATTCCCTGGACCAACAATTACAGCGGGTGAGTAATGAGACAATGGTAACGGCCTATGGGGAAGGGAGACTGACGAGTTTTGAAAGATTGGGGAGACTATGTCCAAGTGAACGTGTATAACGATCTGCAACACAACGGGTAAGTTTGTCCACTTGAGTCAGTTGCAGGAACTTGGCTAATAATCACCCAGAACATCGATCCACTGGCACGGTATCAGACAGTTTGGAGAGAGCAACCAGGACGGAGCAAATGGAGTCACAGAATGTCCCATTCCACCGGGCTCCATGAAGAGCTACACTTTCCATGTCACACAATATGGCACTTCCTGGTAAGCCAACGTTCTTCTACAAATGACGACCAGCTTTCTGACATCCCAACAGGTACCATAGCCACTACTCCAACCAGTACGGTAATGGAGTTGTAGGAGCACTCATCGTTAAAGGCCCTGCTTCGGCCAACTATGATATTGACCTCGGCCCTTACATGATTCAGGATTACTACCGGCAGACTGCGGATCGTCTTCATTATGTTGCCGAGCTTGTCCAGAACGGTCCTCCCCCCGACAGCAGCACTATAACCTTCCGCGGAAAGAGCATCAACCCAACCGGCTCTGGCGGTTCGTACGACCGCCTAGTTCTCACCCCGGGAAAGAAGCATCTACTGCGTCTCATCAACGCCAGCGTGGACAACTCCTTTACCATTTCTCTCGTCGGCCACAACTTCACTGTCATCGCCACTGATCTTGTCCCTGTCACCCCCGTGGTCCGCAGCAAGCTCTTCATGGCCGTTGGGCAGCGTTACGATGTTATCGTTGAAGCCAATCAAGCTGTAGGCAACTACTGGCTCAACGCCACGCTCGAGACCAACGGCAACTGCGGCACAACCCTGAACAAGTTCCCCGCGGCCATCATCCAGTACTCAGGCGCCAGCAGCACCGCTCTACCCACCAACAAAGGCACACCCGTCACCGCCGGCTGCGCGGGCGAATCCGGTTTCGCTCCCATCGTCAAGCGAACCATCTCCTCCTCCCTCTTTGCCCCTTCCACCCTTCCCATCTCACTTAACACCCCCACCAAGCCCCAAGGCCAAGTCTTCGAGTGGCGTATCCGTAACACCCCAATCGTTGTCGAGTGGGACCACCCTGTACTCGAGTACATCCTCGAGGGCAACAACTCCTTCCCAGCAGCCATAAATCTCGTCGAAGTCCCCGCTGCCGACACATGGACCTTCTGGGTCTTGCAAAATGACTTTGCCCTCCCCCACCCCATCCATCTGCACGGACACGACTTCCTCACCCTCGGCATCGGCACCGGCACCTTCTCCGCAAGCACAATGATGAACCAACTCAACTTCAACAACCCTATCCGTCGCGACGTCGTGCAGATCCCCGGCGGCGGATGGCTCGTCATGGCGTATAAGACGGATAACCCGGGCGTGTGGTTGATGCATTGCCATATTGGGTGGCATGTCGCTATGGGACTGGGGATCCAGTTCTTGGAGAGGAAGAATGAGATTAAGCAGTTGATGAAGCTCGATCAGATGGTGCCTAATTGTAAGGCTTGGAGAACTTATCAGCCTAAGAGTCCTTATTTGCCCAAGGTTGATTCGGGGCTTAAGAGAGGTTTGGGAGATGGTGAGGGGGTGCGGCTGGTGAGGGATGGGTTTAACTTCCGGGAGGTGGATTTGGAGGCTAGGGAGCCTGCTGTTAGGAGGCTTTGGTAGTCGCTTAGGTAGGTTGGACCACGGGAGCCTGTGAGAGGATGGTGGGGGATTCGAGTTTGCGTTTAAGTGTTGTTGTTTCGTTTTGGCTTGGTGTGTCTTTCTTTCTTTTTGTTTACGACTTCATACCCCTAATCGGAGGTGGGAAGTGGTTTCGCATATTGAAGTGACGAGTCGGCCGGGCAAAGAAAAGTTGCACAACAGAGTTATGCATTTACGCCTGATCATCCTTTACTTTATCATGACTGTTCCTTCCGCCACGGAACCATTGCCTTCGTCAACCACTCATCACCTCCATCCTTGAGTGTCCGTCAAGCCACTCTGCTGGTTGTTATACCCCTCTATATACGTGTTTGCCTGCGTTCTCCTCTATGAAGACCTTGACGTGGATGAGGTGCCTCTCACGGAACCAGGACCCGAGCCAGCCGTTCGTGTGAGCTGTAACAGCACATGGCACTTGCTGCCAGCCGTCAAACCTGGGATGAATGTTGCCGGTGCGGGTTCACAGGCTTTGCACGTTGACTTTCTAGTGCCTTACTCAATGTTTCCCCCCCGTTACGTGTCTTGCTGCCGTCACGGTCTTCACCTGAGTGCCTGTTTTACCCCCGGCCAGGTCTGACCACGGTGATTTCAAGGACTACCA